GCGTTATTAACACACCGGTACCCAAAGCTATACGCCCGTGGTACGTCCAAGGGTCCACGACGTGGAACGTCCGAGGAAGGGAAATCTCTCGACGATAGACGTCTAAGAGATGGGCAAGGCCAGGGGAAGGTTCTCGTGACGGCAAACATCTAAGAGAAGGAACGAGACCAAAGGGAAGATTCAGCTTAGTCTCGAGTTAAGACTTTGCCGGAGGAAAGATAGAGAGAGGAGAACGAGGGTAGAATTAGAGACTATCGAAGTCGATAATACAACTGAGGTATCTACAGGAAAAACTACTCTATACGATGTCCGGCACAGCCCTCGGGTAAGCCGGTGCTGCGCTGGCGTTTCACCTGCAACCCTTCCGTGACATCTCCCGTACCGGTGAAACATCCGAGGTGTTGGCCGAGTTTTAGGATGACGGCGAGTGACGTCTCAAGGGTGCCGGGGTGTCAGGGTGAGACACGGGAGATATGGTGTTTACCGCACAGATGAAACATAGCCGATAGTCCGACGGCCTAGGTGTTACGGCTGATGACGGTATCGCATATGGAGAGGGGACATGTGCCGATAGCGACGGGTATGGCTGAGCCACGGCGATGCCGAGATGCCCGATGACAGCGGGCCGTCATATGAAACGTGTTTCGAACATCGGAGTGTCAGATCGAGACAGTGGGCGGCAATGTGGGATGTGTCGGGTATCGGAGTATTGGGTTGAAACGTAGAGTCCCGACACATACCGCATTTGGGAGAATCACCGAGCATTCGAGGATCCAAAACAGTCGGGCCATAGATGTAACCGTTGCGGGCGAGTAGGTTGTCACTAATGGAGTGCGGCTCAGCCAGGGCTGTGCCGGTAATGCCGGTAGTGACGTCACGGCAACGCCGGCGGATATGCCACAACTGGTTGGTGTGTGTCGCGGTCGTGACAGTTTCCCCAACCATGTCAAGGCCATTATGCGCAAAGGATTCAACTACACTTGTAGCATCTGCCTCGCTTATCCGCTTCCACTCAAAGGCAGCCACTGTGCACATCTTATCAGTGCTTCCATCAGGAAAAACATCCCTTTCCTAATTTAGGGGAAATTTGGTTCCCCCCGCCGAATTAGGGTAATTTGGGGGAAAGTGGCCTAATTAGCTGGATTGGCAGAGTTACCTGGTTTCAGCATCTCCGTGAATATTTTTTATGAAGCGGGAACAGAGGACATCACTCTGTATACAGTAATGGTTAGTGGAATACTGGTGCAATAGCTCTGCGCATGAATGGATAACAATGAAAAGAAATCAGAGAAAATTGAAACGTCCAAGTCCGTTGCCGAGACACCGGCCCTAATGTGCAGACATGCACGGACCACACATGTGCCATCAGAAAAGTGGTTGGTGTCCGGATTTGGATTTTGCAGACAACACGTGTCAACAACTCTCTCTTCTTCCCACTTCTTCGCTCGCTTACTCTCTCTTCCTGCAGGTCCCTTGCCCATGCCACTCGGCCCTACCTCCTGCAAACTTGGTGCCATGCAGGTTGTAGACATTGTGGGTGTCCACGGTGAGACTCCTGCGCAAACTCGACGTCGCTGAATACTGCCTAGGATGGTCCACTGCGCATTGCTATCGTGCTGCTCCCTGCATTCCTGCCCTTCCTACTAATACTTTGCTATTCTCCACAGTGTGTCGAGCTGATGACAGTACATGCCTCAATCACGAACGCTACGACAACAATACAGTGATTACGAAGCGGTGCGTGTACTTTCTTTTGCCACGCGGTATGCCGCCAAGGGACCTTCCCGACCTCTCCTGGGATCCTGCGCGCAACCGCTATTCCCATTCAGCACGCGCCCCCCACCCAGCGCCCCGTGTGGGAGCCCGCCAGCGCAAGACCAGGCTCAGCTATGGAGCCCCACCATGGCGACAGCGATGACCGCTGCAGCGCGCGCGCGAGTTGCAAGGTGCGTGCGTTCATTCCTACAGCCGACCCCAGCTAACTGGTTGGTGCCTCCAGCACCACCCTGCACGCGCGCATCGCAGCGACGCACCGCGGCAGCGGTAATGCCGACACGGCTAACTGGGTAGTACGTGATGTCTGCCTCGCGCTAACAGTACTGCCGTAGCCACACCTCGCTCCTCAGCCTCTCCGCAGTCCACGTCGTCCGTGCCGCGAGCCTGTCCGGCGCCAGGCTTGTCCTCGGTGCGTGCCGCCTCGCACTACTTGTAGATTTCCGGCCAACGTGTGCCCCCGCAGGTGCTGCGCGCTCCGCCGTCGTTCTGTCTCACCTCAACGCATCTGGCCCCGTGAGCACCCTCCCCACTGCCAGCGACGTCTTCGCCTCCGCGCAGCACGATAAGTCCTCCGTGGCGTACATTGGTACGTTTTTATGCCTTGTTTCAATGTCTGACGGATCATGGCGCAAGCCAACCGAGCGCAGGACTACGATGATGCACCATGGCCGGCTGTTCCCTGTACGTTTCCTCCCGTGTTCATTACCCATAATCATTTACTTTTACGGTAGGCCACCCCTGCATTATAGATCTGTACACTGTAAGGATATTGTGTGATATTTTATAGAACACCTTCCTGTGTAGTAGCTAGTACCATTAATATGATTATTATGTTTTGCGTTGCAATCCCCGTCCCAATTCGATAGAATTTCATTTTCAACCTCACTAGAAAGCTAATGAAACTAAGAGCGATAATTTGGCCGAATTACCCCAAACTTTGGGGCAATTCGGCCTAATTAGGAAAGGAGGTGTTTCCTGATGTCGCGGGCTGGTGCAGAGCAGGTTGGACATATACTGCCGACTCGGGTAGACTATGTGCACTAACAGTGGAGGGCAGATCTCGGACGCAGTCTCCCTTGGATTGCTCGCTTCAACGGAGCCCTACCTCCGCAATGGGCTTGAGAACGGCATCATTCGTTCGTCCTCTGTCTTAGATGCGAGACCCGGCTCACCGTTCTGACTCGTTAGAATGCCCTACATGCCATCTGGGCTATTTCACACCAGGACGTCTCGTCCTTTCACCTCCACTTCCGGTGCTTGAATGGATTATGGACAAGTTACAGGGTGCGAAGGATTCACAGGCCGTATGGGAGGTGGGGTTGACATTGTATATGAAAAAGAAGATGGCAGATGACATGGGTTCCAGATTTTCGCCGAGTTGGATGACAACTGTCCTCCACACCTCCTCCCCCACAAAGAATACTACTCGTTGGTAGCGTTGTTTGTACAGTCGGACCCCATGACAAAGGATTCCTATACCCTATATTGCAATGTGCCAAAATCGCTAGCAATTATCAACGACAGAGGCCAGTTCGAACGGTTCGAACCTGATTCCGGCACTAGGAACCCTCCTTGGAGCCAGCTCTACCGCATCTTCTCCTGGGAAAAGGCCTTTACCCAAGGTACTCCCGGAATTCTGAAATTGACCTCTTCCCCACCGGTTCACGGGCACACTATCGACTACTGGAAACTCCCTAGGGTCAAGTGTCACATCATCTTGTACATTTTCATGAAGCGAACGGTAAGTGCTAACTCATCGAGCCCCGAGGTCGCGTTGGCCAGAAAAATTTACGCCAAGCTTCTCAATGTGAGGGGACCCCATCGCAAACGACGTTCCCCTCCATCGTTGTGGAATTCGCTCCGGATTTGGTGTCCTTTTCCCTCGAGGAATCTTCACTTGCCGGCGACATTTCGACACCGACGAATATGGTTCTTTCTAATTTTTGCTCCGGCGCAACTGAAACTGATTAGTATCCATAGAACGCGGAACTCAGTTCGCCGAGTTCACTAGGGACACCGACAAAATCCAGTCCAGAGGTGAGCACTCCCTTTTTCGCTCCTGGCCATGTGGTAATTGTGCGACGTAAAAACCTAGCGACGTCGCACGGCAAGCGGGAAACTAGCGCCCACAAGTAGTTGTGGTCATGAGACGTTGCACAACACAACCACAATCTGCATCCTTTGTTTCACGACGGTTCCTATATCGGCAAAAATGTCAAGGGGCTGCGGTGACTGTCCTGAGGACCAAGCAGGTGCTGAAACTGAACCAACCGGAGCATGTGATCGTCCATCGGTCGCGTCAGAAATGACAATGGGGTACGAGGCAGTTGCTGAAACTGAGGCCACGGTTTGGGATCCGTGGGTAGTTTCTTTTGGGGGAACACTCGCGGCGGGGGCACTATTAGTAGGTGGCCTCGGTACCCTCATCATGCGCCGTACATGGCGGTAACAATGTTTGGCAACTGTTTGGAAGATATACCCGATGTGAACTATTGACATTCTCTTGACTCGGATATGTATGGTCGTCCGCCGCGGCGGCTCGTCCCGAAATATTGTGAATCAATGGCATGTCACATTACAGTTATTTGCAGGTGGATATGCTCTTCCAAAGTTCAGTGAAAAACTGATTATTGCGTACCGTGTGATTCTGTATTTACGAGTTTTCTCCGACATCATCTGCTTCCTCAGCTTGGCCCTGCTGCCGAACAAGTTGAACGAGTGTCATATTGTGTCAACTTGAAGACTCTGGAAATGCAGTGCATCTGGTCCTTCGTAGTCATCCGTCACTGGAAGATACACTCCTATGGCTGCCGACGTGCACCACCAGGCGCTTTGGACGTCGCCGGCGCCCTCGTCCATCGCAAAGGGTTCACATGAGCTGGCATGCTGCGCACGACATACCTGGAGTCACCACGTAGGTGGGAGGCGGAGGGCAAGTGGGCAAGGACAAGTCAGTGGCAGGGACCATGGTATCGTAGCCGCGTGGATGTCCACTAGTGCTCATGTGCATGAGACGGGTGGGGAAGAGGATGTCGATTACGGCCCATGCGCGGAAGCTGGGAACACGTACACTGCGCACTCTTGGCAATAATTTCAGTTGCGGCAGTGCAGGGACCTCAAACCGCTACAGTCCAAGCAGTGTCCGGCTTGCAAGCGGAGGGGAAGGGGCATCACAATTGTGCAGACGGTGGCGCTGTTAAAATGGGTGAGTCCATCAACCTACCATCGCCATCGCGGGAATCGAACCCGGGCTCTGCGCGACATTAGCACAGCGCTCTAACCAACTGAGCTTAACAGCCATTGGCATACAGGAAGAAAGAAATATAGAGGCTATAGCTGTGGTTCGGTGAGGTGTTGCTCAAAATTTCTGTCTTACATCATGGGTTCGGATTCGGCCTCGGATATCTTCCGAATACCAGTTCAAGTTCAAGATTTCTGTACTATGCTAGTATCCTAACGAGGCTGGGTTTGATTCCCGACATTTGGGACTAAATTACCGTAATAACATCAATCGTGATATCAACTCTTTCTCTTGGATTTTTCCGAATTTTGCGAAAATTTCATATAAATTGAACGAAATGCCACTTTCGGTCCTTCGGACAGCGACAGATCAACGCATCATTTAGCTGTGATCTTTCAGGCTACACCTCATGATGGAATAATGGAATTCAAGCTGGGAAGCCAAGATGGCCGTTGGAGTCCTGGACACAAGCTCCTATGGCACATCTCAGGCTGACCATGGTGACCGTGCTGGCGCTGCAGTGTAATACAGTACCGGCCCCCGGGCTTGCAAAACGTGAGATGAGGCTGCGGCGCTTCATCCGCGGCGTTTCGGATGGTGTCCTGCGACAAACGGCTCGTGTTCCGCTCTATATTTTTGGTGCATACATAGTCTGAGATTTTGCAGAGAAATTTTTGATTCACAAGGCCAGTGTTGTTCGGTGTTGTGAAGGCTGGGGATTGCTTATCAAGCAGTCGGTGACTTAGCGGGCGCCGCACGCGCCATGTGCTACTGTGAACTGACAGCGGAGGCTAACCGGCGGTGACTCACGCCCGTTCTTGACAATGGACTTCACGTCCAGTGTCCCCCAAAATGTCCCCCAGATCGTCATGGCCTACGTCCGTATTCCTATCGGCAGCCGACCGCAGGTCCATGGACTCCTCGTCCCTGCCTGCTGTACGGGACTTTCGGCATGCATCCTGCTCCTTCAGTCCCTCTTCGCGCTCAAGTCCATCCATGGACTACTTGAACGCGCCGGGCTCGTGTCAAAGCAAGCACCGAAAGTGTCTCCCGGAATAGGCAAAGGGGTCATTCTGGTCTACAGAGTAGCTCGACTACTGGGCTCTCTTGCCCTCCTGGGTGTTTCGATCTCCTCGGTCATGGATATAGTCTCTGGCTCGCGTGAGGAATTCATCTGGAGGGTAGCTATGGGCACACCTTACGTGAGTTTACCGAGCCTGGATCGAGGTAATCAAAATAACGTCGATGTTAGCTCTACGCGTCGATTTTAGCGTTTCTTTCCATCAGCCCGAAGCATTCGCGCCAACGGCTAATCCGACACGCGAATTTCGTTCTGTTTGTTTCGTTCTGCGTTTACGTGTACAGAGACATCATCCCTCTTGCCACCTTCAACGGCACCCCAATGGATCGAGGTGAAGGGAAGACGCTATGGACGAAAATTGGCCTCCTCTTCTTTACCGCAGTGATCATCCCCCTCTTCACGCCTCGCCGATATGTCCCCATCGACCCAGAGAACCCTATGCCGGTGCCGAATCCGGAGCAGACGGCGTCCATCTTTTCCTTCGCCTTCTATTTCTTCCTGGATAAAATCATATTCCTCGCATATCGCGAGTCACAGCTGCCAGAAGATGAGCTGTATCCCTTGTGCGATACCGATCGCTCTGCCCACTTAAAAGACAGAAGCTTCAAGGTATATATTCCTATGGATAGCATCCCTTTTTTCCAACTTGGAGTAACCATTCCAGTATCTCGACAGTTTCTCGGGGGAAAACGCACTGGCACGCCGTCATATCTTCCTCGGACTGATGCGCGTCTTTTGGAGAGAGTTCACCATGCTGGCATTCTTACTCCTTTTACGAGTCCTCGCGAATTATTCGGGGTAATTGTTCTTTGAATTTCATTACATCGAAACGGTTTTGTTCAACACTTTCCAGGCCCTTCGCTATGAACAGATTGCTTGAGTATGAGCTCCACCAGTCCGTAGCGGCTTTGTCTCACCTACCGCTTGAACAGGTTCATCGAAACACGGGACCAAGTCGATGCTCACGTCGTACGTCCATGGGTTTGGATTTTGATGATCATGTTCGGCCCGGTTTTGGGTATGTTTCCTTGCTACTGTGGATGATTAAATCTTTACTGTTTCCTGTAGGATCTATGGCATTCCAGTGCTATATTTTCATCAACGTAAGCCGGCGTATTGCGGGATCTTTCGCGTGTAACATAAATGATTCTAGACGCGCTCTCTCGTTCGAGCTGAGGCCATCATCACGCAGTTGGTCTTCGCTCACAGGTGAGAGCGGCCTACTTTCGGTTCCATCGAAGCTCACTGCTTCTTTATTCCAGTCTGCGGATCCGGATGAAAGCCGACGCGGACAACTCCGAGGCGAAAGACACAAAAGGCGATTCGCCCGCCGTCGAAACCCCGAGTTCTGCGTCCGCTGCTCGCAGCGAGTCAGATGCCGGTGCCGATACGACGGACGGATCCGCCACGCCAGACAATGGAGAAAGCGGGTCGCGCTCGGAAGACGAATCGACGACTGTGCAGGCGAGCACGGCCAGCATTAAGTCGGCGACCAGCAACGCCAAGGAACCGCCCAAGCCTTCGAAGGAGAAGGAGGACCCCAAGAAGGCCCAGGGGAGTCTGGTCGGGAAGATCAACAATTTGGTGACCACGGATCTCGGAAACATCGGTGCGCCAACAGCGGCTTATGCGAACGTGTTGCGCTGACTGACTGCGTGGTCCCGTCTAGTGGACAACAGAGATTTCCTGGTTCTCTTCATCTACGTTCCGTTCCAGATTGGGGTCGGCATCTACTTCCTGTATGTTCTGCTCGGGTGGAGTGTCTGGGTCGGCGTTGCCTCCATACTTCTACTGGCACCTGTTCCTGGCTACAGTTCGTCTTTGTTATTTTATTGGTTCATCTCGCTTGAACGCTGTAGTGGCCAAGTTGGTTCAATCTGTACAGAAAGAGCGTTTGAAGCGGACAGATGAGAGAGTCCAGCGCGTTAGCGAAGGTGCGCGGTCAATCGTTCTAAACTGCGAAATGATGATGTTCAGACGCGGTTTGTCTTCAGCTACGAACGTACTCCGAATGGTAAACGGATTCTGAACCTTGAGTTCTTTCTCAGCCCCTCTCTTAGATCAAGCTGTTCGGATGGGAGGAAAAGATGAATGACAGGATTGGCGAAAAGGTGACACACTTCCCTCCTACCTAGAACTTTTCCGGTCTCTTCGATATCAGGGTCTGACCCCTAGACAGCGGACTTCCGAACTTGTTTGGATTAGGAAACGACGGTTCATCGATCTGGCGAGCAATCTTATCAAGTACGTGGGTTCTGCTCGACACCTGAAGGAATCAAATTGACGGCCCAACGCACCACACAGCTTCATAATTCCTGTCAGTAACCTTCTTTATGCCTGCTGTGTACTTGTAAACCTGCTGTTTCGCATTTTAGGTTGTCACAATGACTGTCACCTACGGCACATAGTAAGGCCGTTATCTCATCATCGTCTTGAAGCGGGTGCTGAACTTGAATCGTCTTTAGTGTCGGGTCATTTTTCCTGGAACTATTTTCCCTGCTCACTTTACCATAGACTTTGATCATGGGCCAGTCTCTCACTGCATCGAAAGTATTTTCTAGTATGACTATATTCGATTTCCTGAGGTGAGTGCTTTGTAGGATTTGATGCTCGGTCATCACGTTGATCGCTTTCTAGAGACAATATCGCCATGGTATTGTTCTCTTTCGATTTGGTTTCCGGTTATCTAACACCGACTTAGATCACTGGGTGGTTGAACAGCCTGATCACCGGGAAAGTATCCTTGGATCGAGTTAACGACTTCCTCAAAAAAGTGCGGTAACCATCCAACTACTTCGTTGCCTTGCTTGAAACTTTTGAACACAGACGGAACTGCTGGATGCTTTCGACGCGAAAGAGGCTCCGGTCCTCTTCGCCCCTGATCCCGCAGAAGACGAACGCATTGGTTTCCGCAACGCCACGTTCACGTGGTCTAAAGAGACCGACGGATCTCTCACTCGATCGCACCGTCAATTCACGTTGAAAATCGACGGGGAAGTTCTTTTCGAACGCGGCCGAATCAATTTGGTTATAGGGCCGACCGGATCAGGTGCCGTCTGCTCATCCCAGCTCCGCGAATCAGAATACGAGTGCTCATTGCGTGCAGGGAAAACCTCGCTTCTCATGGCGTTGTTGGGTGGGTCGCACTGATTCACAGTTCAGTGGTGCTTTATTGACGTCTTGTGAATCAAGGCGAAATGCACTGGATACCATCCTCACCTGATTCCTGGTACAATCTCCCGCGGGGCTCCGGCGTTGCTTATGCCACGCAGGAGTCGTGGGTGCTAAACGAAACGATTCGCACAAACATCATCTTCGATACACCCTATGACGAGGAGCGATACAAGAAGGTTTTGTACGCGTGCGCGTTGGAGCAGGATATGAAGCTGTTTCAAGCTGGCGACCAGACCGAGGTTGGCGAGAAAGGTCGGTGTGGTAAATGCTTGACTCTTTTCGTCACTCATTTGTTACAGGGCTGACATTATCGGGCGGACAAAAGGCTCGACTAACGCTCGCCAGGGCTGCGGTAAGCAACGTTCAATAATAAAATAGAGGTCACTGTCAATGAACACCGTGCAACAGTACTCGAAAGCCAGCATCCTGCTCTTAGACGACGTTCTAGCAGCGCTCGAGTACGTTGCCTTCTGAAACGCGCTTCGCATAGATCTAAAACCGAACAAGTGTGCACACCGCACAATGGATAGTAGAGAAACTTTTCTCGGGCGATCTGCTCCGTAAGTCCGACGTATCAGTGTCTTCCCGTCCTAACGCTAGACCACACCAGAAAATCGAACCGTGATCCTCGTAGTAAGTCGTAGCAACCTACGTTCGCTTGCCCTACTGACGAGTCAGACCCACAATGTTGCATTGACTCGTCCAATCGCTGATTTTATCGTCACGTTTGGGTCTGACGGCCGCATCCAAGCCCAAGGATCGGTATCAGAGATCACCCAACGTGGTTCCATAGCCGCCCAAATC